CTGGGGTACATGTGCAGATCATGCAGGATTGTTGCATGGGTACATACATGGTAATGTGGTTTGCTGCCTCCATCCCCCCGTCACCCATATCTGGCGTTTCTCCCCATGTTTTCTCTGCTTCCACTGAGAGACAACTTCATGTGAGTACATGCTGTGTTCAGATCATCAGATGCACAAACTCTGGACCACACTTGGGAGCTAGTGATAGTAGGAACTGAATATTCATTCCTGGGGCAGTTACAGCAATAGCAGCTGTATTTGACGTCTCAGAAGAGAAATGGAAATGATGGCCCATGCAGTGAAGAGCATCTGGCTTTGGCATATTGGCTGAGAGACATGTAATCTGCTCCGAGAGGGCATCAGTGAGCCCCACAAAGGCCAATATTTGGCTAATTTTGACTGTGATTCTGCATTCAGTGACTTTCTTGTTTTTGCCTTTTCTTTTAACTTGAATTTCTAGGTTTCCTGGTGGTTTTGTGAACCAGTCAGACACTTTTCATTTTAACTAAGCCAAACAGACGTCTTTGGAATCAAGAAGAAAATAATGAGGTGAATCTTGCTAGGGAATAGTGTGAAGAGCTCCTTGGATTACTCTAAACCAACAACCACAGCTGGCGAAAGTTATTTTTATTTTATTTCTTTAAGATTTTATTTTTATTGTACATATTTAAGGTATACAACATGATGTTTTGATATACATATACATAATTAAATGAGTCCTGCAGTTAAGCCAACTACCATATTCATTGTCTCATGTATTACTTTTTGTTGTTGTGAGAGGAGGACATAACATCTACTCTCTTAGCAAGTTTCCAGTAGATGATAATAAGAATTGAGTGACCTGGTGACTTCTTCTCTGGAATAGCACTGTGAGGAGATCCATGGAAATACCCTCAAACCAAACAATCATACTTAACAAAACTTATTTTTAAAACAGCCACTTGAAGTCTCTGGGAATTGTCTTAAGTACATATATTTATTTTTAAAACTCTACTAAGCCTTGAAAGAACACAGAGTGTCTACAGCATTTGAGTCATAACCCACTCTATACTTTCTATATCCTCGCTCAATATGAGGGAAGCTTCACTCCGAGCACCTCTAGCCAAGAAATGGGAGAATCTCTTTCCTCTCACTTCCCTGTAAAGGGTTTTTATATCTCACCAGGAGCAAAAGATTGCCAGCATCTCTCAAACCCATTCCAAGGCTGTGTTGCAGAGATTCCAGGTGAGTGTGATGAAGAGGTACAGAACTCCATTCTTCCACCCAGCACCACTTGTAGTGAAGAAGTTCTATCCCAGATATTGTAGGTCAAGAATGCTGAGACCCCCATAGCCCTTAGCACAGCTCATTTGCTGGGCAGAGTTTTCATGCCAGTGAATGCCTGCCAACAACATCAGAGGCTACTGCTCATGCCCAAAACCATGTTGGTAAAACAGGGCTGTCACTCTGAGGGAAGTGGGCCGCTATTTCCAAAATAGCTCCACAGAAGGAACTCGGTGATTTTCCAAAAGTGAGAGGCAGGCTATAAGAACAGAGAGATCCAAAGTCCTCCCTCAGGAACTGACAGTATTAGGAACAGGGTATGAGGAATACCTAGCCTAACAGCACTCTTAAAAACAATGGGGATTTTAGCGGTAAACTATGACGAGTAAGTTGGCAGCCCATGAGATGCAATCTAATGATTAATGAAATTGAACATCCCAACTGATAAAATAAAGCATTTGAGGTTTTCCAGGAAAATATTGATGATGAATTGTCATAGGAGAGTTACCCATGACACATTTTAATTCCACCAAAATTATTATAAAAATGTCAACATAATTAGCACAAACAGTAATGGTGAGAAAATACACACATCTCAATGGAATAAAAGATAAACTCAGTGCCTCTGAGAATTTTACAAATGATAAGGTCAGAACTCCACATCACCCAAGAAATGTTAGTAACTCAGTGAATGATGTTGAGACTGATTACTAGCAATTCAAGGGGTGAATACTGGATTTCCACCCCACCCATTATTTCAAAGTACATTTTAGGTGGTCAAGGATTTAAACATAAAGATCAAACTATAAAAGTATTCAAAGTAAATATGAGACAAGTTTTGTAGAATATTTACATGTGAATGATTTTCTGAAAAATTAATATCATTAACTACAAGCGAATAAAAAGTTTTACAGGGAAAATCATAAATACAGTAAAAAAATAGAAATTTTATAATGTTTAAATATATATGATGGGAATAGAGATATTCTATAATATACTGAAAGAATTTTTAAAACACAATAAGGAAAATTGATCTTCTAATAGTAAAAGGAACATAGACCATGAACATATGATTTACCAAAAAAAAGTAATGCAAGTAGCTACTTCATATTTAAAAATAAATAAAACCACACTCATAATTAAATAAAACCACACCGAGTTAAAACCAACACATGAATCTTTTGTTGTCGTTCCTATGAGATGGTCTTCCAAATTTGGGGCAAATTTTATCTACCCAAACTTTGCCCAAATTTCATTTCCAAGTTTGGGGAAAATTTCATTTGCCAGCAGTCTGTGTCTCAATTATTATAAAAGGAGTAGCTTGGTCTCTTAGGACTCTTCTTGCTGTGAGAAACAGTCCAAGAATCTTACTAAAGTTTCTTCGAAGTGAGCTGTGAATGTGCAATAGAATAGCAGAAAGCTTGTGCAATGGGAACACCGCAAGTGAGAACACCAAGGTGATGCAGAGGACCGTGGTGCATCACCAAGGTAGCAGAATTAGCATATTGTGGAGTAACAGTTGAGTTCCTGACTTCTTTGGGGTCTCCTCAAATCTGTATTTTTCTTTGATTCCACACTTTGGCTTGGATCATTCTATTTCCCTGGAATTCCTATTGTCACTGTGCTTTTTGGCAAGTTAACCCCTCAACTAGTCTTTTTTGAAAGACTAATGAACCCTTCTCCTTTGGTCAACATTCTACCAAAGAGAATGACATCATATTAGAACAGATAGTTGCCAGCCCCAGCTCTTCCCCTGATTTCTAGAGTAAACTTTGACGGATCCCTGGATTCCAATTTTTCCATCCACAAGATGGGGGGTTTTGTCTGGATATTGCAAAGGGAATTTCCAACTTCAAATTCAAGAAAAGTTGGAATCTCTTACAAGCTGAGAAGCACCTGGTACTTGTGCATGATTCTTGTTACTCTGGACTCCAAGACACAGATACACGTGGCCAGCTAGCACAGAGCCTCCCCATCTCAGGAGGTAGTGGACAAGGAAGTCCTAAGAAGGTTGCTCAAAAATTATCATTAGTGATCCTCGCTTTCAACCCCCATGGAGCACACAGAGCCTGCAAATATGTTATCAGAGTGTCCAGTCTCAGCAAAAACTACTTTGATAGAGAACATTATGCCTCTAGGAGGAACATGGTAACAGTGGAGCTGTCCCAGAATAACCATATCTTCTCTGACTGCAATGCAAATTCTGGGCAGTGATTTACCATTTTAGAGTCTCTGTGTAATTTCAGCAATATCATGCAGCCCCTGAACTTTTCATCTTTCTCATCATTCGTGATCCATGATTACATCCAAAATTGTAAATGCCTTTTCAAGGAAGTAAGTGGATTAGACAATCCAGCCAAGGGGCTGCGGAGTCCCTACTATTGCCAATCTCCATTTCCTTTTTACAGCTGATTAAACTGTAGGCCATAAGCTGGGGCTAGAACACAGAGTGAAGGAAAGGAGGGGCACAGTAGGTGCTCCACTGCTCACAGTGGGATGAGAATGGTTGTGTGGACAACTTTCATGTCTTAGCCTCTAAGCACACAAGCACCATTCCCAGCAGAAGCTGCAAAGTCCACATGCCTGTTTCTCTGACTTCTTGGCAGCCTCCACATGTGCTCATGCACTGGTTCACACCGTTTGAGGTACAATGTGGACTAAGAATTGGTGATAAAATTCTCACCAATGGACTGAGAATTGGTGATAAAAAAAAAAAAAAAGCAGACGTGGAGATGGCAGGAAGTGAGAATTTACTTCGGCAGCAGTGGCATAAATGACTGCAGTCCCATGGAGGAGAGTGGAAGTGGTGTCCAATTTGGCAATGTTGGTGGGCAGATGCGATGTTGCCATGACTGGAGGTAGCAGTGGTGTGCTCCATTGTGACTGGAGAGAAAAAGACGGTGGGACTGGTATTGTTGAGTAATGAATGTGCCCAAAAAAGCACTAAACACTAAGCCGAGAGGATGAAATATCATCTAATGTGGCGAAGCTGAAGATGCAGCCTGTGATTAAAATATAGGCAGAAAAATGGGTCAGGCCCATTAAAGGTGACCTTGTGAAATAAATTACTGCCATTGAAGAAACTGATTAAAAAAATATCTGGACTTCTGCCCACTAAGAAGAGGCATATTCTTGGGAGTATTTCCATGTTGATTAGGGGATGTCTCGTCTATTTCCAGAGGTGAACATTTGTGCTGTTCACTTTATACCTGCCAACGTGTAAGTTTCATGGGGAGTTTGGAACCCTATGAAAATCCACAGTACGGGAGAGATGTTTATGCTTTTGACTGTGCACTACGTGGAACTCCCTTGTTATGTTGTGATATCTCCCTGTTGAAACCATCTTTGAGGCTTGCTGAGTGACAGAGCTGGCCTCCTACTGCAAAAACAGAACAAACCAGGAGGTCACCTTCCTTCACCCCTGAGACCTACGGCTGCACTAACACGCTCAGCAAATGCAACGCTTCCACGTCACCTTTGATCTCTGTTGAGTGACTCAAAGAAGCAAGGATAAAGGGGCATTCTTTCCCAGAACAAAATAGTTTTGTTGTCCACAGCAATACCCAATTTCAGAGTCATGGGTGGCAATGATGAGCATCCAGGACTGCAGCAGCTGTGTACACATCACACAATTGTTGAGACGAGGTTCTGGCTGTTATCAGGCTACCTAGACACTCTTATATCTTACAATGGTCCTGATCCTGAATCTTCAGGCTTCTCATAATTCTGTGAGCCATGTTTTGGAGATGGGGTTCTCCAGGAAGCTCAGGGTTCTCAGGGGCTGAGACAGAGTTAAGAGTGCAAGTTGCCTTATGAGGTCACACCTGTGAAAGTAAAGGCGAGGAAGCAGGATTAGGCTAAGAATGCATTGCCAGGCTGTCTTGACATCTCTGTCAGCCCAACAGGAAGCTCTGGAGCAAGAATTTTTTATGAGAGGAGTTCAACATTGGGCATGAAGGGTAGAATCTCATACTACAGCCTTGCTTTGCCATTGGCTGGAGTCCCCTGGTTCTGTGTAATCTCAGCTCAAACACTGAGGTCATGCCTGATGAAGCAGTGGCTGGTAGCAGTTAGCTTACCACATTCCACACAACTGGGCAACAAGGTACTCCCTGAAGAGGGATCCAAGGAGTACCTCTCTATCAGTCATAGTGCACCCCGGTACTGCTGGGATCCAGGCTCCATACACTTTTGGAAGCTTTTCCCAGGCTCCAGTGGGCTCTCCCTCTGCGATAAACCGTAAGAAGGTGGAAGGGAAGGGGGTACACAACAGCCTTGGCCTCTGCAGTTGTGTGGGTGGCAACTGGTTTTCATTATCACCCTCTTGTATTCCCATTTAAGTCCCCCACCTTCAGCTACCATCAGTGCTATGTCAGTGGCTTACCTGGTGGTAGGACTCACATTCTCATTCCTGGGCATAACTATGCCCTACTCAAGACAGGGTATCCTGTTAAAAATTTAAGATAAATCTCTTCTTTTCACTAAGCAGATGTGTTACTTAGAGAGTCTGCTCTTTAATTACCATGTTTGTTTGCAGCCCTGCTTAGTAAAGATGAAACATTACTCACTATGATCCTTGAAATTCACAGTGCCTGCCGTATGTTAGGGAAGATACAGAATAGGAGGTTTTTCAGCCCTTACACAATACCCAGACAGATGACAACCAGCAGCCTTATCCCTTGCCCAGCCTCCTCATCCTCAGGACCTCGGGGGTCAGGACAGCAGCCAGGAGGTGAGAACGGAACCTGGTCTACAAAAGAGTCTCAGGGCTTTATTTTTTTCCTCTTTCAGGGGGTGATTCCCTTCATTTTACTTGATTTTATTTAGCTGTGCTTCACTCCTTTTCATCTTGGCTATAATAGCAAATGATTTGCCTATTTTATAATTTTTTCAAAACCAATATTTAAATCTATTAATTAGAGCTACTGTTTTTCTCTTCTTGACCTCAGAATTTTGCTTTTATCTTTATTGTTGCTTTTTTTGGTCTTATTTTGTCCTTCTTTTTCTTTTTTGTTGAAAATTTGATTTGTTTATATTTATTATTTCATTTTTGTTGATGCAAGTATTTAAGGCCTGGGCGTGTCCTCTGCATCCTTGTTTACCTTTTTGTCCACTTGGTTTGTCTTGTATCCATACAGTGTGTTCAATCCTGCTACTGTTAGTGTGTTTTTATCTATGTCTCCTTGGTGTATCCCATATTTTCTTCTTTATAAGTGTTTTCTATGCTATATGGTGCTTACATACTCATAGCTAATATCTTTACTGAGAATTGTGGCTTTTAATATTCAAAAGTGTCCTTCTTACTGTTTCAGCGACAAAACAAGTTTATAACCAATGTATGTAATAAATATCTGTAAGTCCACACTGATATAAATAAACAATTGAATAAGTACGTGAGGTATAATAAATATCTGACATCAGATACTTATAGATGATTATATTCTATCTGTAATTATTATAGAATAATAATTATAATTATCTATTATTATTATAGAATAATTCCAAAAATTTATTTAGATACTTCCCCTTTAAGGAATATCTTCTTTATGGTTGTGCAGTGACTTCCTTTCAAAGAGTATAGTATGGAAGGATGGGGGAAAAGTTGACTTTTCAGTGTAGAAACTTGGCAAACACTGCCTCAGCCTGGCCCTCTAGGTCAACATCATCAATAGTAACTCACGTTGAAGTCAGTACCCTGGATATTACGTGATAAGAAGGGCACTTTACTTCTGAAATTTTCCTCCAAAAAACTACAACCCTACTATAATGAGAAAAACATCAGGCAAATATCAATAGAGGGACATTCTATAAAATACTTAAGCAGCACTCCTCAGAACTGTCAAGGTCTTCAAAAACAATGAAAGTCTGTGCAGCCATCACAACCAAGAGGAGCCTAAGAAGATGTGACCACTAAATAGAATCCACATTGTCCTGGATGGGCTCCTGGAACAAAAAGAGCGCTGGTAACAGCAAAGGCAATATGAACAAAGTCTGGACTTTAGCTAATAATAATGTATCAATACTGGTTCATTTGGATGAAAAATGCGCCCTAGTAAAGTATTAACTGCAGCAGACTGTGCGCCAGCACACAGAAAGTCTAGCAAATGCTCTGAGCTACCAGGACACTTTTCCTGTATTTTCATATGTGGACATTCTCCTTCTGGGAATGAGTTTATCTCCATTTCAATCATAGGCTCTCCATTCCTCTCTTCTCTTCTTTACACACATATTTCTGGAGCCCACTATTCTCTCTGAAAAAGGCAGAAGGAAAAGTTCAAGAGAATTCTCCATTGAAAATCAGATATTCTTTCTATATAATTTGAAGTTTTTACTGTTCTCTGACTTCAGATTATGTTGAAGAAATGATGTTTCTGAGGTTTTCTCATTTTTCAGTGTAATGATATAGCTTTGTAAGAATATCTTGGGAGATTTACGTTCACAAGGACACCATAACTCTAGCTACCCTCAAAGTCTGGTGAATTTTTATTTTTCTGGTAAAATACTCGAGAACATTTTGTAAGAAGATTTTAAAAATGTGACTTTATGGAAATTAAAAATATTGGTAAGGTTAAATGTTATATAATCTAGCTAAAACAATGGTTAACAACCAATCAGAAAAAAAATTTTAAGTGTATGAGAGCAAAGGTGGGTTTTCTTTATGTAAGAATTACTCTTACAAATCAATTGAAATACTACAGACACCCAATAGAAAAGACAGTAAAGGGTATGAAAAGACAGTAAACAGAGAAAAATAATGCCAGCACATAAATCAATATGAAAAGTGTACCACCTCATTCATCATTAAATGCAAGTTAAAAATTATCATGTTTTCATTTCGTTTCCTCTATCACAACTTTAGGCAAATTATTTTGCATCTCTCGGCCTCAGTTATATCAAGTAGAAAATGAACCAGCTAGAGAGATTCCGTCAAAGGGCTTATGCAGTCCTTTCCACACACAAAAAAGAAAGATCTATCGAAGCCATTTTCCTGAAGTTGTAAGATTAAAGTAAAAATCATAGAGTTGAGATCATTAAAATGGGAGAATATAGGGGTGCTGAAGACCCCACTGAGAATTACTTCCATCTGCAGCGTCTTCTCCAATTTACTTTTCTTTTGCGTTCACACGTTATCTTAACGCTGTTCCATCACTCTAGGCTGTCACTCCCAACCCTATGGACTACTCTTCATGGCCTAGATCAAGTGAATCCATCAATGTGACCTTCTAAGAAGTTAGCTCTACATCTTCGTTCTAGGCCCAGCATGGCTATGGAACACTCTGTGACTGAAAGACCTTCATCCTCCTCTCTAGATTCAGTTATCTCATCCTTAATGTGAAGAGGTGGTTCATGATAATCTCCAGAAGTACTTTCTATTCTAAAGTGGATGGAAGACTCTGTAATCAGGGGACATGCTAAGAGCTGATAAACATGTCCTGTTTTTACCTCCTTGGGCTGGCACCTGCTTACCTTGAGAGGGCAGGCCCATATGACTGGTTGAAGGAAAAATCTCTCTGTCCTAATTCTAGACAGGACAAAAGAAGTGACTTGAGTTTTCCTTAAGCTGACCAATGGCTGTCTCTATTGTTCTGTCTCAAAGATGGCCATGGAAGCTCAGGAATAGGCAGAGGACTCTGCCTCAGAAGAATATGAGGGTCCTGGCGGGGTGTTGGATTATTAGATCCAAGTGGTGAAAGCAGGAGAGTGAAGCAAAGAAAATGTGTCTCCTCTTGATACTGATTGCTTGATATCTGCCCTACCCATCAAGCCACTATAAGTCACTCAAATAGCGTTTTAAGTGACCTTAATTGTGCCATGCAGACTTCAAATCCAATAATTTTCCCCCTACTTTTGACTTTCTCCCCAAAGTTACCACATAGTCAGATGTGCCGTGAGAAAGCTCTAGGTAGTTTGGAGGTTCTTTCAGAGGGGTTCTGAAAACTTCACATGCTCCAACTTCTCTTTTGCAAGTGGTGTTATCGAGGTTGGTGAGAACAGGGAACTTGTTTAGGTTCGTTAGGAGTAGGATTTAGGTATGGCAGATGGCACAGTACTGTCTGTCCCTGCATTTCAGAAGCAAATCAGAGAAGGGAGGGTACTTAGAAGGAAGATGAAGCTGGTTATGAAAATAGGAATGAAAAGGCGCTCTTTTCTGCCCAGTTACACTGTCTCCAAGGTGGGCAGGACTGAGCTTAGATGTGGCCAAAACCCAATGGATACTTGGTCTGAAGTCATGTCTCTGAAAATGGGCTCTCATCAAGCTGTAAACTTCTTGTTTCTTTGAATTAGTAATTTCCCTTGAAACTCTAAATAATTGAAAAATAATGGCAGATTTCAGGTATCAGGAGACACATGGTCAGGCATGAATTGGAATCACAGAAATTATATTTGAAACAATTTAATGAAGTCAGCCAGTTCTACAGAATGGTAGAATGAACCCATGTCTGGGAGTTAGGGAACCAGTTATATTCTGTCCTTAACTTACTCAGTGAAATTAAGAAAGGCAATTCTTCTTAAGAGGCCTGTACAACTGGGATAAAGCAAAGGGGGAGGCTACACCCACCTGTAGTCATTTTGTAGTCCCTATGCCCTTCATGGACGGTTTTGTTAATCACATGCCAATATCTCTAGAAAGGCTGTGCAGGGGCAGCAAAGTGAAACTTGAGGCCTCACATCTCTCTTTGAAGACGTGGGTCTTCACACCCTTGTCTTGGTGAGGCACTTCTTGGACCAGGTCATCTTGCTTAGTGACATTGTCTCCCATTGCTTGGGAAGCTGGGAGAACTGGTACCCCATATCTGCTTTTGAAACCTGGTTTGTGTCTGGAGGACGCATTCAATGCATGGACCATAGTCAGAATTATCGTACAGGGAAGCAATGCTATAGAAAAATAGCTTCCCTTGAACAAGCGTCAAACTTACACATTCTTTTTTCTGCTTTTTTTTTTTTCCCCATTTATTTATTTTATTGCATTTTAGGTTTTGGGGTACATGTGAAGAACATGCAAAATTGTTGCATAGGAACACACGTGGCAGTGTGATTTGCTGCCTTCCTCCCCATCACCTACATCTGGCATTTCTCCCCTTGCTATCTCTCCCCAGCTCCCCACCCCCCACCGTCCCTCCCCTATTTCCCCCCAACTGACCCCAGTGTGTAGTGCTCCCCTCCCTGTGTCCATGTGTTCTCATTGTTCAACACCCGCCTGTGAGTGAGAACATGCGGTGTTTGATCTTTTTAAAAATTTCTTTGGTGAACTAAGATGTTTCTCCAACTTATTTCAGAGAGTAGAACTTAGGGGACTTCCGGGTAGGTGAGCACAATGGGGAAAGGGAGGAGGGGTGAGCCATCTCCCACAATCTCCTCTTCAAGTGATGTAAAGTACTTCCACGACTTTAAAATATCTTGGCAAAAAACCCAGACACTTAATATGAAGTTTTATTTGAAGATAGAGAATGCCAAAAGTACAAAATAACTGTCAGGAAAAAGAGACAAAGAAAAATTCCCGGATCTGGGGTCTCACACATAGTTGCCCTTCCCAACTCTACTGGAAAGCTTAAAGCTTTCTAAAATTAGACTACAAAACACAAAGGAGGGACTCTAGTGAAGGCGCAGTTGGTGGAACAACAGAAAAATCTACCATGAATTTAGATGTAGGTGATGGGGAGGAAGGCAGCAAATCACGCTGTCACGTGTGTACCTATGAAACAATCTTGCATGTTCTTCACATGTACCCCAAAACCTAAAATGCAATAAAATAAATAAATGGGGGAAAAATAAATTAAAAAATAAAAAATAATAAATAATAAAAAAGAAAAAAAGAAACTGGGCATATAAGAAGAGAAGTATGGGAAAGGGATTGTAAATCTGAGCCTTTTAAGAAAACTGGCAACCATTTAAAGGCCAAATTCAGTGGACTTTTGAACAATGCTGGGGTTAGAGGAACCAACCCACTCTCCCATACGGTAAAAATTTCAAATGAGTACAAATTTTCAGTTTTAAATCATGAATACATTTAAGACATCTGCTACATAACATTGTACCTGTATTAACAAACACTGCATGGTGCACTTAAATTAATTGTGCACTCAAAACCTTGGGAAAAGTGTAGATCTCATGTTAACTGTCCATAACAAAATTTTAAAATGAAACTTCTTTAATCTATTAATACCTAAATTTTTTTAAATTTGAAGTTGAAAACCATATAAAGAAAAAACAATATAAACTGGAAAATATTAATACACACATATGTCAACTAACAGGTAAGGTTCTAAACATACTGAAAAAAATTCTTCAGTATAATAAAGAAAAATACATCAGCTAATAGAAAAATGAATGTAAGATATAAACAAACTAGCCATTTAGAGAAATAGTAATATAAATAGTTAATGCAAGTTTGAAGTCAATTATAACCTCATTCGTAAAGGAATGGAAGTTAAACAAAAATATGTTTTGTTTTACGTCTCTGAGACTGATTTCCCAGTACTGATTGTAGGCAAGTTTATTTTATGTGTGGCTTCAGTTCTAGTTATTGTAAAACGAGCCCCTGGTCACCTGAACTGGTGACTCTTGCTCTGGAATAGCAGGGTGAGCAGCTCCATAGAAGCATTCCCATACACACACCCATCGTTGGTAAAAGTTCTTTTCACCATTTAATGTCTCTGATAATTTTCTTAAGGGCATATATTTGTGTTTACAACTCTACTGAACTTCCAAGATCAGAGGACGTCTCTGCTATGGAAGCCACAACCCACTTCTTACTCATGACTCCTAGTTTGGCATGATGGAAACCTCACTCTTGCCCAAGAATTGGAACTCCCTTTCTTCCCATCCCCCTGGCTAGGAATGTGATGCCTCTCCAGGAGGGACAGACAGGCTGCAAGCATCTCTCAATCCCTCTCCCAGGTCGTGTTGCAGAGATTAAATTCCAGGTGAGTGTGATGAAGAGGTACAGGGCTCCATTCTTCCACCCAACACCACTTGTAGTGGAGAGGCTTTCCCCCAGGGACTGCAAATCAAGAATACCAGGACCCCCACAGCCCTTGGCACAGCTGGGCAGAGTTTTCATGCCAGTAAACGCCTGCTAACAATATCAGAGGCTACGGCTCATGCCCAAAACCATGTAGGTAAAACAGGGCTGTACTGTGGTACAAAAGGAAGCAAAGGGTATTAAAAAGCAGTCACTGGGGAAAGGAGTGTTCATATCTGAACCAATATGAAAGCTGTACCATCTCACTGAAAACTAAACATAAGTTCAGAATTCATCATGTTTCCATTGCTTTTTTTTTTTTTTTTTTTTTTTTTTGAGGAAGAGGCTCGCTCTGTCGCCCAGGCTGGAGTGCTGTGGTGCTATCACTGCTCACTGCAACTTCTGCCTCCCATGCTCAAGCAATTCTGCCTCAGCCTCCTGAGTAGCTGGGATTACAGGCACCCACCACTAAACCCGGCTAATTTTTGTATTTTTAGTAGACACAGAGTTTCACCATATTGGCCAGGCTGGTCTCAAACTCCTTCCCTCAAGTAATTCGCCTGCTTTGGCCTCCCAAAGTGCTGGGATTACAAGAGAGAGCCACCACACCTGGCCTTCCATTGCATTGTGTGTGTGTGTGTGTGTGTGTGTGTGTGTGTGTGTGTGTCACAGTGGATTTGCTAAAAACTAGGCAAATTCTTTCCTCTCTCTGGAATTCACTTCTATCAAAGGTAAAAATGAATGAGCTAGAAAGATTGTCTCTAAAAAAAACCTACAGTGTTTTCAACAATGAAAAAGGCTGAAATATTCTATTAAAGATATTTTATTGAAACTTGTGAGATAAGAATAAAAAATACGGACAGTTAAGACAATTAAAATGAGAGAATAAGGGGGTGCTGAAAATTCCACTGAGAACAGCTGACTTGTCAGAGTTGTAGAAAATCATCTCGGCCAGACTGCTTTCATCTGCAGCGTCTTCTCTTTGCTTTTGCGTTCACAGAGCACTCTGTGACTGAAAGATCTTCATCCTCCTCTTTGGGACTCAGTTATTTTACCGTTAATGTGAGGGGGTGATTCGTGATAATGTCAAGGGGTACTTCCTGTTCTAAGTTGGATGAAGGCTGTGGAATCGGGGGACAGGCTAAGAACTGATAAACACTGGGTGTCTGGTTTTGCCTCCTAGGGCTGGCACCCACTTATCCTTGAGAGGGCTGGCTCATATGACTGGTTGGAGGAGAATCTCTCTGTCCCAGTTCTAGACAGGGACAGAAGTGCCTTGAATTTTCCTTAAGCTTACCTGTGGCTGCTCTATGGTTCCCTCTTGGGAATAACCATAGAGCCTCAAGGATGAGCAGAAGGATGCTGGCCTCAGACAAGAATCCAGGACCCTGGTGGGTTTGGGATTATTGGATCCAGATAGTGGAAACAAAGCAGGGAGAGCAGAGAATATGTGTCTTCTCTTGGAAACTTGATGTCTGCTGCACTCATGAAGCCACTGTGAGTCACTCAAATAGCATTTTAGAGGACTTAAATGTGTCAGGTGGACCCCAAATACAGTCATTTTTCCCCTTCCTCTGACTTCCTCCCAAAAGTTACCCACATTGTCAAATTTCTCCTTAGAAAGCTCTGGGTCAGGGGTTTCCAATCTTTTGACCTCTTTGGCCCACATTGGAAGAATAACCTTTGGCCACACGTAAAATCTAACACTAACAATAGCTGATGAGCTAAAAAAAAAAAAAAGTCACAAAGAAACTCATTTGCTAATTTGTGTTGGGCCATATTCAAAGCCGTCCAGGGTCACATGCAGTCCGCAGGCCACGGGTTGGACAAGCTTGCTCTAGGTAGCTTGGAGGCTCTGCTAGAAGTGCTCAAAAACCCCACATGCTCAAGACTTTCTCTTTTCCAGATGGTGTAACTGAGGTTAGTGAGAACAGGAAACTTGTCCAGGTCTGTTACAAGTAAGACTTAGGTCTGGAAGTTGGCACAGTACTGCCTGTTCCTGAATTGCAGAAGGGAATCAGAGGACAGAGGGTACCTGGAAGGGGTTTGAAGCTGGATAAATGAATGTGGGTAAAAAGATACTCTTCTC